GGCTCCGCAGCACGTGGCACCATATCAAAGAGCGCAGAGCCGTCAGGCTCGAGCGTGGGGTACAGCACACGTGGTGCATTGTCGTTGAGGTCGCCTACTAGCACGCGCATGCTCACGTTGGCGCTGAGTGCGGGCGAGCCCTGGTCGCGTGCCTGCAGTGTCAACTGGAAGGAGCGCAGCTGCTCATGGTCGAAGGCGCGCTGTGCGAACACCACTCCGCTGTCCTGGTTCACGGATACGAATGACAACAGTGCCCTTGGCTCTAGGTCGCTGGCTATGATGGAGTAGGAGACCTGACCATTGGATCCCAAATCCGGATCAGAGGCGCTGACTTGAGCTATGGAGGCTCCAGGTGGATTGTTCTCAGCCACGTGAACCACGTAGGAGGCCTGGTGGAAAACCGGTGCATTGTCGTTGACATCTGTGATGTGCACAGTAACACGTGTCTTGGATGAAAGGGATGGCTTGCCCCCATCAGTAGCTGTAATAGTGACGTTGTACTCTGAGGTCTGCTCCCGGTTCAGGGCCCTGTCTATCACTAGCTTGTAATAATTCTTGGAGGTGGGTTGTAATTTGAATGGAAGTTCTTCCTGAATATGGCATGTCACCAGACCATTTTGTCCAGAATCTTTATCTCGAACTTTAATGAGGGCTATTACTGTTCCAAGGACCGAGTCCTCTGGAACCTGGTTAGAAAAGGACATGAACGTCACCTCTGGGACGTTGTCATTCTCATCAAGAATTTCAATCTGAACATTACAGTGAGCGGTGTGCACTCCTCCGTCCCTGGCTTCTACACCCAACATGTATCTGCTCTTTTCTTCAAAATCCAATGTACCATTAGTTGTGATAGCTCCAGTAGTTGGATTGAGACTGAAGACGAGGTTAGTACTTGCTGGGCCATTTAGGAAGGCGTAGGTGATCTCTCCGTTAACATTCTCATCCTGATCTGTGGCTGTCACTTGCAGGACGAAGGTTCCCTGGGGCATGTTTTCACGGAGGCTAGCTTTGTAAACGTCCTGACTGAACACTGGAGCATTATCATTGGCATCGGTGACTTTGATCCAAATCTGGGTGGTACTGCTTAGGGGTGGGTCTCCCCCGTCGATGGCGGTCAGGATTAAGTGGTGGGAGCTCTGATGTTCCCTGTCTAGAAGTTTTTCCAGCAGTAATTCTGGGTATTTATCTCCATCGGGACTTTCCTTCGTTGATAAGGAGAAGTGTGAGTTGGGGCTGAGCGTGTACATCTTCAGTGAGTTGCTTCCCACATCTGCATCTCGTGCGGAGTCCAGAGGGAATTTTACCCCCGGTAAGGCTGACTCACAGATCTCCAATTCAATGTTTTTCCCAAAGAAATGTGGTGCATTATCATTAATATCTTGGATGGCAACAATTACATGGAAAATATTCATTGGGTTTTCAGTAACCGATTCAAATTCTAGTACACACTCAGATTTCTTCCCGCAAATCTTCTCTCTGTCTATCCTGCCACTCACTAGCAAATCCCCAGTCTCCGCACTAATGCTGAAATAATCCTCTGCACTAACTCTCAGGTTTCGAGCTGGCAATTCCTGGACACCGAGCCCCAGATCCTGGGCTAGGTTACCCACCAGAGAGCCCTTGGCCAGCTCCTCCGGAATGGAGTAGCGGATCGGCTGGGAGATGGCGCCACAGAACAAAGGCACCAGGAAGTGAAGCAGTACCTGATTTGTCATCGTTCCAACGCCTCTGGGGTTGCTTTGCCGTTTTGAGCGCGCAGGGAAGCTTCTTTTTGATTTTTTTTCTTTTTTTAAAAAGACAATCTGTGGGTAGGATTTGTCAGGCGCTTGAAGGGTGCGCAGGAGCCAGACGGAGAGACGTTCTCATAGGTGCAGGAAAAAGCAGACAAGCCCTGGCTGGACCCGGCTGAACTGGGAACCCTTCTCTTCTCTTTGGGCAACAGCGGCGCCTAGAGGTTGTCTTGTAAAACTGCGTATCGTGCAGCTATTAATCCTCAAAGCTCTTGTTTTGACTTTTAATTTGCTTGAAGGAACCAGGAATTTACATTTCCTCTAGTTTTGACATTTTCTTGTTTATCATCATTTTATGAATGTTTTCATCAATATATATTTATGTTTTTCATTTCGCAAGGCGTGCTTTTTTTCTTTTTCCAGTTTTGGAGAAAAATGCCATCAATGACTTCACTCTATGGCATTACTAACTCAGGTCTGACTGTCATATCCCAACAAGTGAGTGGATTTTTATCCTCATTATTCAGTGAACTCTGATATTTACCTTTCTGCAAGTTTATTGAAGTAACTTCTTTACTTAGTATTTTAGTTTCTCTGTGTATTTTATCAATTCAACAAAACTTTACAAAGGAGAGGAGTGGCGTTTCCAGAGATATTTTAATGCATTGATAGTCTTTGCAAACCACACTATTTTCAGCTAGGTGTATCAGAGCCTGAGAGCCTATTAAAGGTGTCAGTGTAATATTTGGGCTTTTATGATGGTGAATCTTGCATAAAACATATTTATTTTATGAAACAAATTCTTTCTAAATATGCAGTACTCTATAAACTAAATTCTTACCTCAATCAGTTAAATACCAGTAATTGATAAAGTTATTGATTGTCAGTAACTTGGTGAGATATTGACAGTCTGTAAACACTTAATTTTATTATTTCCAATTTATCTTATTTCTTTGTGTCTAGGTGTATGTGTACATGCACGTGCACTCATGTGGGGGTCATAGAACACACTGGAGCTGGTTTTCTCCTCCCATCATGGGTGCTGGGGACTGAACTCAGCTTGCCAGACTTGGAAGCAAGAGCCGTTACTCCTGAGCCATCTCACTGGACCCAAGCACTCCATTTTAGAACTTGATCCTGGACTTAGGTAACTCCAAAGCAAATCTCTTTGTTTCTCGTGCAAAAACAAATCAGACGACAATGGCTTAAATGCACCTCTTAAATTTCATCCATTAGAACCCCAGTCTCCCAACCCGTGGTATAACGATATCTGGAGGCAGGATCTTTAGGAAACGTTTGACCCAGGAAGTCTTTGCCTTCATTGGTGAATCAATGATTAGATATTGGATTATTATGTAACTGGCTCTGTTATCAAAATAGCAGTCTCTGAGATATTTGCCTTGTTTTTATCATATGATGTCTGATATGTGATGCCCCCTGTCATGTGACGACTCTGAAATAAAAAGCCCCAAGCAGATGCTGAGCAGATGAGAATGCCATGTTCTTGGACTTCTCAGCTCCCAACAACCAGATAAAAAAATCTTTATTTTAAAGATAAATTTCCAAGTCTCAAGTATTTTCTCAGAACAGCAAAAGTCAATGGAAAGTTATCAGCTCATGGGTTTATTTCAATATTCTGAAGTGCTCAATCATCTCTAGTAGAAATAGATTATATTTCCCTTAAGATTTCCATTTTCTTGTTTTCTCTACTTCCTGCCTTTACATTCTTTTCCACAAGATTCTACCATATATAAATCTTTAATGAGTTTTAAATATAAATATAGTTTTATATGCTTACAGATATTGTCTTCAGTATCCATTGACTCACACATTTCAATGTTGTATTTTCTAACATATCAAGGGAAAATTTGTCCCTTTGAGATGCAATGAAATATATTTAGGCTTGTTTTTGGATAACCCTCTCTTGTAGCTACAGGAGTAAAATAATTTCACAGATTTGAGAATGGACCCACAACTTCTGACTAAAGAAAGTTCTAGAACACACACAGGATTCCTATTTCATTGCTGAAATAGATGGCCTGGGGATCTCTTGCAGAGTCAGAGAAATATTTTCCTCCTGTTTTGAAATAATATTTTTTTTGTGTGTTGGCATATATTCATTGTATATGAAACTGGATTTCATAGGATATTTTTATACAAATATATATTGTACATTGGGCATATGCCCCTCTATCCACCATTTCCTCCCGTTTCTCTCCCTTTCTCTCCTGTTAGTCCCGCTTCCCTATCAGTCTCACTTTTATTTGCATAACACACATGCGCACACACACGCGGGCACACACACACACTCTCTCTCTCACACACACACACGCACACACATGCGCACACACACACACCATTTTATGTATCTATATAAAACTTAGTGTCCACAAATGAGAGAAGTCATAGCATTTGTCTTTCTGAGATTGACTTAACTTGCTTAATATTAACTAATACAACTTAACTATCTACAGTTGCGTTCAGTTTTCTGCAAATAACAAAGCTTCACTTTTCTTTATGACTGAAAAATTCCACTATACACACACACACACACCCCACATTTTCTTTATTCAATCCTCTATTGATAGATATCTAGGTTACTTAGTCATCGTGAACAGTTCTGCAATTAACATTGATGTGCAAATATTTCTGATATGTTGACTTACAGTCCTTTCGGTAAATATCCAGGGGTGATACAGCTACATCCCAGGTTTTTTAAAAAAAATCTTAAAGGGTGATAAATACCAGTTCCTAATTCATATGGTTTAGGTGAGTGAACTTTCCACCTTCAGACAAAAAAGATGAAATCAACACACACACACACACATTTTAGGCACAAGGGTTTAGTGATCTGACTAATATCTACTTTTCCTTTTGAGATAGTTCTTGCTCTTTTGCCCAAGTTGGTCTTGAACTCTAGGCTTGCATAATCTCACCTCCATAAACATACTGCTATAGCTGTCTCCTTCACTTCTTATCCTATGATTTTCATGTCCTTAAGATATGAAGACCGGCATGTGGTGGCACATGCCTCCCAGCCCTGGTGAGGCAGAGGCAGGAGAATTTCTGTGAGTTCGAAGTCAGCCTGGTCTACAAAGCATTTCCAGGACAGCCAGAACTGTTACGTAGAGAAAACCTGTCTCAAACAAAACAAAACAAAATGAAACAGAACAAAACAAAACAAACAAATGATGTAAAGACTGTGGTCTGACTTGGAAAAGTTCTGACAAAATCTTATGGAAGCATAAAATACTTCACATTTATCCTTTCTCCCCACTTGTGTCAGTCAGGATGGGTTGGTGGGCAGGAGTCACCCAGTCCAAATCACAGGGGTTAATATGTGAAAGGGCAGCTGAGGTCCAGCTCAGTGATCCAGCAGGTGATTGGCATGTACCAAGACCCTGGGTTTTACCCCAGCAATTGAACAGGGAGAATGAAATTGTGAAAGGCCCATTTCTCACAGGTGTGTGCACCACTTTGAGTCACCTACAAGGCTCTTCTCTCATTACAGTCACTCAAGGACATAGGTCGAAGGAGCAACCATAATTTCAAAGGGTAAGAGAGAGAACTGGAATCCGCATAATGACAGAGTTACCTCTGGAAGTGCCACATTACTGCCAATACTCACAACAAACTGACCAGAACTACTACCCAGGCCCACTCAGCTATAACAAGGCCAGGAAGTATAGTATTCTCATGGCCACGTGGGACACAGTTAGAGAAAACAGAATGCACAATTACATTGTTGTTTTAAGGTTTTATAAGAACCACACTGGCAATAAATATTCATAACACTCAAAGGAGTAAACTCACCTCAAGCAGGTTGGGGTCGTCTTTTGTTTCAAGTAAATCTTGAGATGTTATAAGAGGCTCACTTTTCCCACAGCTCTCCTGGCTGATGAGTGTGTCTGCATAGTTGGGTTGGGGGAAAATCAGGTGACTCTTCCTAGAGCCTGTGGTAAGAGAAACTTCCTGGGAATAGGTCTGCAGGAAAGCCTGCACCCCATCCAGACCCACAAAGTGAGAGGCTGGTATGCCAGCCAATCCATTTCCTGAAGCTTGTAGCAGGCGTGATGAATGCCAGCGTCGTAGCCTGAGCGCCAGCAACACAATGACAAAGGCCAGGAAGATGCAGGAGACCACAGCTACTGCCACCACCAGGTAGAGTGTGAGGTCTGAATCTTTGGAATTAGTCGGGGTGTGAATGCTTTCCAGGTCCCCCAGGACCTCTGGGATGCTGTCAGCTATTGCTATGGTGAGTGTGACAGTGGCCGAGAGAGGGGGCTGGCCATGGTCCTGCACAGACACCACCAGGCTCTGCTTCAGAGCATCTCTGTCCAGCAGGGCCCGGGCAGTGCGTACCTCACCTGTGTGCAGCCCCACTGAGAAGAGCCCTGGCTCGCTGGCCTTGAGCAGGCGGTAGGACAGCCAGGCGTTCTGCCCCGAGTCTTTGTCTACTGCTACCACCTTAGTCACCAGGTATCCAGGATCTGCAGAGCGGGGTGCCAATTCAACACCAGTGGAACCATCAATTGGGAGAGCAGGATAAAGGATCTCAGGCATGTTGTCATTCTGGTCCAGTACAAATAGGCTCAGTGTCATGTTGCTACTGAGTGGAGGGTTCCCACTGTCACTAGCTGTCACCAGCAACTGCAGGTCTCTAAACTGCTCATAATCAAAGGAGCAAAGAGCATACAGGACACCAGTATTGGAGTTGATAGAGATGTAGGTTGAAAGTGGCGCCCCCTGAAGTGTGTTCTCAGCCAATGAATAAGTAATTTGTGCATTCTTGTCAGTGTCTGGGTCCTGTGCCGTAACGGAGAAGATGGAGGCTCCCCTAGGATTATTTTCTGGAATATAAGCTGAATAGGAGGCATGGGTGAAGGTAGGAGGGTTGTCGTTGATGTCCGACACAAGCAGAATGATATGAGTTTCTGTGGACAGTGGTGGTTTCCCCCCATCGGTGGCTCGTAGACTGATATTATATTGAGACACCTGCTCACGATCCAGAGATTTGGCTGTCACTAAGCGGTAGTATTGGTCTATTGATTTTTCTAGAGTAAAGGGCAGATTGCCTAGGACAAAGACCGTGACTTGTCCATTCTGGCCAGAATCTCGGTCATGTACATTGATAAGAGCAATTTCTCTTCCAGCAGGGGCTTCTTCTGG